CAATCACGCCCACTCCAAGAAATCCCCTTTTCCCAGTTTATTTCCCCCTAATGTGTATACTATATAACACACTCCACGTTTCACTTACTCGTGCTTTTAATTTTCTGACTCCGTCACCAGAATGTAAGCTCCAGGAAAGCAGGCATTTTTACCTGTTTGTTCACTGCTAAACACTCCCACCCAGTGCCTAGAATACAGCAGGTGTTCAATAGAGATTTTTTTTTCTTTTTTTCTATCCTCACCCGAGGACATTCTTCCATTTTTTTGTTCAGATAGAGTGGGAGGAAGAGAGAGGAAGAGAGAGAGAGAAAGAGAAACATCGATGTGAAAGGGACACATCGAGTGGCTGCCACCCGCACGACCAACCAGGGCCAGGGACAAACTGCAACCGAGGCACGCGCCCTTAGCGGGAACCGAACCCAGGTCTCTCTGGACCGCAGGCCGACGCTCTAACCGCTGAGTCAAACTGGCCAGGGCTTCAATAGATATTTCTAAATGTATGAGAGGCTGAATTGATATCATACCTAAAAAAAAAAGACAACGATGACTAAGAAAGGCAAGCTTCTAACAAATACTGCAACTTGGATACCCTTGGGTAGAAATCTAGGGATTTTCCATCCTTATTTTCCTCTTGCTGATATGCTTCCAAATACTTCTCCCAAAATCGAATCAGAGTAATCCCAGATTTTTTTTATTAAAATATTCAGGCAGTCAAATATATAAACCACCTCAAGTAGCTTTGCATCCCCCACCCCCCACATATACCCAAAGAAAGAAAAGCTAAGTCTGTTTTCCACCTGGGCCTTCAGATAAATCAATTATCTGTGTCCTTAACAGGTGTATTAAATGAGTAATTTCAGAATAAGGAGTGCAAATAGTACACTAATGGGAAAAGACAATGTTTGCCCCATAGAAACTTCTATTTGTACCCTCCCTAAAGCAGAACCCAGCAGGCTCTCTTTTAATGAAAAAGAAAATACATGATGCTACGGACATTAAGTGGGATAAAACTCCCTGTCCTGAGCTGTCTCACTTTGCTACTAGCTTGGGCATAAAACTGTCCCTTTAAACAGGAGTCGGCTGCACTGGCCACACATGGAGAGCAAATGCCTTCCTTGTTCAGGTGAGCCTTACAATCTCAGGGTTGTCAGGACACTTGATAACCATCTCATCTTCCCTGCCCCCCTGATTTTAGAGATGAGGAAGCTGAGCAAATGACCAATCAACCCATAGGCCACACCCCCCATGAGTGGCCGAGCCAGACCAGGAACCAAGGCTCACATCCTCCACAGTGCCTGCTCCAGCCCCCTGCGGACAGCAATTACTTCCACGTAAAATGTTCAGTCTATAATAAAGTATGTATTCCTACCCCACAGAGATAAAGGTCTGTTTTCTAGGACATGCCAGTTTCTACGGTCCAGGGGAAATGAGGTCTACTGGGAGAATCCTTCTGTGCCGTGCCAAGTATTAAGGCCTTTTCTATTCAGATGCCATGCACGACATGGAAATTACAGAAGTGACTTTCATGAGTCTGGGGTACTTCCTGGGCACCAAGCCAAAGCTTTCTCCCCGTCTGTACACTTCCCCAAACAGCCTGTTTTCATTTTCTTGTTTCGGAAGTTGTTAAAAGATATCCACAGTAGAGATGGCCTGAAATACGCCAAATGAAATGTTTACCTCTCCTGATTTGCTGTTACACAGCATTTATCTGCTCTCACAGTATGCCAAGGATCTGAAAACATGTCACTGATTAATAAATAGTAATTAAGTCTTCCCACCTTATCAGGAGATAAGGTTAGGTTCCGGGATTTCCTTTCATTTTTTTTTTTAATCTCTTCCCACCCCCGCCACCCCCTCTTCTGAGGGTTGTCAGTCTCCGGGATTCCCTTTCGAAGGAAGCCACACTGCAGCCTCCAAGTGAAGAGGTTTGTCCTGAGGCCTGACTCAGAGGTATCTGCAAACCCAGACCCAAACCACATAAACTGTCCTTTACTCTCTGCTGTCCTTTGCTTCCTCAGCCTCTTTTCCCACCGTCTTGGGCCAGCCTTCGTTCCCATTTGGCCTCAGCCTCCACACAAGGACCCTCTGACCACGCGAACTAAATAGCTAGACCCTTCGGTGTCAACAGTGAGTGTTCTGTTCGGCAAGGAGAGGTACCTAGGTCAGGCAGCCAGATATCAAATGACAAAGTCTGGCAGAGTGCGCATCAGGCCTCTACAATGCTTTATTTAAAAAGCATCTGAACACTGCAAACTGACATTCTGGCTCCTGGCAGGGCTTTCCTGACTCAGGATCTTCAGGCCTATGGTGCAGGTGTGACAAACCAAATGACTGGGCCTGCAGAGTACCTTGGAAACAAATCCCAATCATAATTGTTGATGCCTCTGATTTAGGTTGGGTTCCATTACTCAATATCCACACTGAGGGGACCCAAAATGACCTCTTTACTCAGACTGAGGATGTGGCCCGGGGGGAAACAGGCATCCTGAGCGTCAGACCACTTCTAGAAAGTCTGAGGAGACGATGCTCATAACTCAAAAACTTTGCAATGTTACAGATTTAGATAACAAGTTACCCCACAATTACGTTTTCTTTACATTAATATCAAGATTAGCTTTCCAAATACTAACATTAAGTCATATTGTTATTAAACATTCACCATTACATAATCCACAAAGTGGCTCAACCCTGTGTGGATAATCATGAGTTGTTCTGCCTAGATTCAAGTATCAGCTATACTACTTAACAACCAGCTCACGTTTGGCAAATCACTTACTCTCTCGTCTCAGTTTTCCCATCTGCCAAGTGGAGATATTAGTAAATTACCTGCCTCATAAGGTTATAATGAGTTAAAACATGTAAGCACTTAGAATGATGTCTGCTTAGTATTCATTTTTTAAAGTCACAGATGATTACTATTATTATGTCATTGAATAAAAACATTTTGATCATTTTATTGTTTGTTTCATTCTTCTAGAACTCCTGCCAGCACTACAGGACCTCAGTGGGAAGCTTCTTTTCAAAGAATTCTTCTTAAGGCAGAAGACAAAGCTTTGGGACCCCATAGCCAAGATCATGGGGAATGTGGCCGGAGTCCAAGAGGTTGCTCTGTAAGAGCTCTCTAGTCTCTCTGGCACCAGAAGATAAATCCCATTCTTTCCAGAGGTGGAAACCACCGCAGTCATCCCCAAACAGCTCCTGCGACAGCCACTCAATGAAGCCACAGCTCACTGAGCCTCAACAGCCCGCCACTGCAGAGGTGAGGCTGCGGGGCTCTCCCAGGGAGCAGAAGTCACTTAGGGGACACTGCATCAATCAACCTACAGGCTGCAGGCAGAGGGACCAGTGAGAGGGGCTCAGGTGGGGACACACCATGCAAAGGGATGCATTCTCACATGAAGGGACTCCACTCTCTCTACTCTCCTGGTCCACAGTCACATAATCAGTGTAGGGACCACAAGTAAGGGCTTGCTTCTAGTTTCTCAGTAGCCTGAGCACCAGAGTCACAACCCCAAACCCAAATAAACCTCAATGGCAATTTTCAAAAGTTCTCTCCAAAACTCACTCCTTAATTGGCTATGCTGAGAGGCAGCCTCAAACCCCTGTTAGGAACAGGCTGAGTCTGTACTGTTTCACTGCAACAAAGAGAAAGTGTAGACCCACAGGTGCCCTCCCTGAAGCAAAGCACAAAAGCTGGGAGACCCTATTCTCCACCTCAGCAAGTGTGCTTTCCCGGGAATGAGAACCATGGCTAGGAAGGCCACCTTCACACGCATCTTCTCTCTGGGGGACCCACTGCAGATATTGGGAGGGGCAGGGAAAAATGACCAAATAATTGCAGTGGACCGTGGGTGTGGAGCAGAAGACAATCTGCATTTGAAAATATGGTTCTGGAAAAGCAAACAAAAACAAAGACAAGTAAAGGAGGAAAAGGAAGGAAGGAAAGAAAGAACGAGCACACTGATTTATTTATCCTACGAAACACCTTTTTCTCTTCCCAGACTAATCAACACCTCCATGAATCCGTGCAAAATGTCCAGATCATGTAGCACCTGTGTGTGACTATATACTGACAGATAGTGATCGACAACAGATATTGATCACAGGAGGAGAGAAAATAATTTGAACTTCAGATTTCAGCCAGCAGTGCCTGATTCTCCTTCACTATCAGCTTCCCCATCTATTCTCCGGTGCTCCAAACAAAACAAAAACCAACTCCTGGGCAGAAAAGGAACAGCAGCTGAACAGAGCAGCACAGCACATGCTTGCTGCATTCACGCCATCGACTTCTGACTATTTCTTTCTTGAGACGCAGCCACCAGCATTGGACTACAGACAGCCCTGGAGAAAAACCGCCTGCACAGCGACACTCACAGACCTTCTTCCCTCGGAGACAGTGTGTGCGGCTGAGCCTCTGTGAAATGAACACACGCGCAGGTGAAGTGCGTGTCCACACATGACCCTGCACACTGCGAAATTCGTCCCTTCCACAATCGCGTGGCCATCCAAAGTCTTGCCTACACCTAGTAGGTGCAGATGTGAATTCTGTAAGAATACATGATGGAAGGGCAGAAATGGGAATGACCGAAGCCCGATTTTCTCCTGACCACGTCTCTCATTCACACCGTGCGCCCCTACACACGGTGAGTAAACGCGCACAGCCTGCAAACAGAGAATCCACCATCTCAGCCCACAGTCACGCGTGGGGAGAAAGAAGTCTCGAGGGCGGTGGTGTCAGGGGAAGTGTCAAGTTGCTCGCTGGTGGGGTCTGTCTTCCCAAAGCCCAGAGCTCCCCGGTCCGGGAGCCCTACCCACCCGCGCCTGGAGGCTCTGACCCACGCGCTGGGTGCGCGGGGTGCTCCGCAGAACCGAGAACCCACCATGAGGCCGTGGCGACCAGCGGTTCCTGCGGCGGCGGCGGCGGCACTGGTGACAGCGAAGCCGCCCAAGCACCCGCGACCGCGGCCCCCTTTACCCTCTTGTCCCCGGTCCCCACTTACGTTCCGAGGGTCTCCTTGAACTCGAAAATTTTCTTAATGTCCTCCGCTTGCTTCTTCCAGGAGGAGCTGCTCTCGCAGTTCTCCCGGGCCATGGCAGACGAGGGCGGCGCGCGCGGCGAGGGGGCCGGAGCGGGCGCGCTGGGCAGGGGGCGCCGGAGGCCGAGGCGCGGGCGCAGGGGTGCCCTGGAGGACCGGGCTGGCGGCGCGGGGATGCTCGGCGCAGGAGCCGGAGGCTGGCGGCTGCCGCAGAGCTTCCTCTTCTGCAGTTTCCTCTTTCACTCTCGCCGTCGCCGCCGTCCCTCCCTGGCTCGTATTTCTGCTTGTCTCAGGCACAGACTTCCTGCCGTCGCCACCCGCCCGGCTTCTTTGCCGCGGGTTGCCAGCCTCACTTTCTGCTACTTTCTTGCCTCCCTTCTCCGCCTACCCGCCGCCCGGCTGCTCCCCCCTCCTCCTCCTCCTCCTGCGGACTCCCCGCCTCCTCCTCCTCCTGCGGACTCCCCGCCCTCCCCGCGCCGGGCCGCCGCACCCCCGCCCCCACGCCGCCCCGCCGCCCGCGCGCTGCCGCCTCCGGGGATGTCCTGCGCCCCGAGCGCGGAGGCAGCGCCGCCAACCCCCCACCCCAGCTCCGGCCAAGCTCTCGCCGCCGCGTGCGCCCCGGAGCCTGAGAGAGGGCTGGTGCGGGTACCCGAGCAGGTGCGGGGCGCAGGGGCGCGCGCGGGAGGAGCCCAGCCCCCGGAGTGCTTTATTAATTCTGCAAAGTCAAGTCTCGGGGACGCGAGGGCTTTCCTCCCCGGAGGCGGACGGGGGCGCCTCTGCGTCGCGCTCGGCTGCCGCGGAGCGAAGCGGGGGCGGCGTCGTGAGGCCGCGGGGATGCTGGGCGCCCTCTCCGCGCCCGGAGCACTAGCCAGGCGATTCCGGGCCCCTGCGACCCGGCGGTGCGCTGACCTGGGGGGGGGGGGCGGTCGTTATGGCGACCGCGGCGGAGGCCAGGGTGCGAGCGGAGGTGGGCGTTGACTCAGCCCCGCGGCGCCGGCCCGGGCTGGCGCTCCTCGAGCCTGCCAGTCCCTCCCGACTGGAGCTAATTCGCATTGCACCAAAATCGGTGCTGGAGTCGTACTGTGGCCCGGGGGAGGGGACCTCGTGGCGAGGGACGCGCAGGACGTGCCAGGCGTTGCCTGGTTTTCCCTTTGGGAGCAAAACTCCCAGGATCATTTGGCTGCTGGGCGGCGGGTGGATTCGGTGTCGTGCACCACTCGAGCTCCCCAGCCCCAGGCGAGAGCGGCCGCTGAGCCTGGGCCGGCCTTCGCTCCTGTTTGGCCCCTCCAGGTTTCTCCCACTCCTCTGGCCCCTCTTCAGCCTCCCAAACCCAGACATTTAGTGGAAAGTGAACGTCTGTTCCACAACCGCCTTAGCCCCACCCGGCTTAGTAGGGTACCCAGGTGGCAGTACGTGTACCTGGAAACATCCTTTCTTACGAGCTGGGGAAGGGAGCCCAGAGCTCCCTCCAGCCTACTTCTCGGAGGTGCACTTCGACTGCCCACTTCCCTCCCATGTCCACCTGGCTGTCAGAGGGCATCCACACGCGGATCCCCCTGCCTCAACCTGCAGGGCCTGCCTCTTGTTCCGGAAAATTATAGTTTTCCCTGTGTCAAGACTAGCACTCCCTTAGGCTCCCCCCGCCCCTGGGTTGGGTTGGGTAAACAGCACTGACTCTTGATTGGAGACACCTGTCCCATTTTCCCAGCGCTGTTCCAGTTTCACTGTAAAAGGAAAAAACATTCAACTCCCTGAAAAAGAGACTTCATCCAGCACCTTCTGCCTGGTTCTGACAAGCTGAATGCAGACTAGCTGCCCACCTGGAAGCAGTCTGGACCCACACTGGTCCCCAACCCCTTCCCCGACCCCAGAGATGAGAAGACAGCCTGGCCGCCCACCCCACCACACCTCCACGCTGCTTTGTCTTTCAGAGGCTGTTAGCCTAAGGCTCTCCGAGCTGAGGAAAGCAAGCAGGGGATTACTTGGCTGTTAGAAACACAGAGTGAATTGACAAACCCAACTTCCAAGACAGATTACTGAGGAAACTCTCTCAAAATTGAGACACGTCACCCAAATCTGAGGCTAACAGCACCTCCTCAGTAAATGTATTTGGAGAACTATAATATCTTATTTGGGTTAAAGGTTAGGTGTGAAGAGTAGGAACCAGGCATAACTGAGATCCCCTTTGACACCCTCCTAATCCCCACCATAAGCATCTCAATTTTTTTTCTCCTTTCCTCCTCCCTCCTTCTCCTCCTTCTCATTTAGTTCTTTCCTTTCTATTTCCCCCTTTGCTCCTTGCCTAAGGATCAGTGATTTTTAGGACTTGTAAAATAGTGTTGTTGTTACTGTCTTTAACATGGTGAAAAGCATATCCAGAATATCATTAATCATTGAAAACTTAAGAACCCTTTGGTCCAAACACATATTGGTCAAAAATATTTTATTAGGTGACTATATATATATATATATATATATATATCCTACATGAAAAACTTGTTTGTTTTTTAATCCTCACCCAAGGATATTTTTCCATTTGTCATCAGATAGAGTGGGGAGAAGGGAGTAAGGGAAAACATCGATGTGAGAGAGACACATCGATTGGCTGCTTCCACATGACCCCAACCAGGGCTGGGGACCAAACCACAACCGAGATACGTGCCCTTGACCAGAATCAAACCCTTAGCTCTTCAGTCTGCGGGCTGATGCTCCAACCACTGAGCCAAACTGACCAGGGCATGAAAAACTTGTTTAAATCTGAACAAGAATTATTGCATGGGGAAAATGTTCCCTTATTAAAAGTTTCCCATCAAATAGATTGTTTGACAACACTTTGATGTTAGAGGCCTCTTCTCACAAATGCTGCAAAATTCATGGCATCTTAAATTGCGTACTTTGTTTTTTAGAAAAAATTAAAAGAAAGTTACTCGAGCATATTTCCTATATACTGATGATTAACAAGCCATTGATGGGGTACAATAACACCTAGGAAAAGTGTAGCTGAATGAGGAATCACACAGAACTGCTACCTTTGTAAAAAAAAAAAAAAAAAGCAAGCTGTTAAGGAGGCAAGGTTGAGAAGAGGGACTCGATATGACCGTTTCAGATCTCTATTCAAAGAAGTAAAAACTAAAAGAACCTTCAGTCACAAACTTGGGTCATCAAGAACCTGAGCATGATCCAAGGAAAATTCTAGCTAGCCTGGACAATATCTAAGGCCACTAATTAACATGCGTCTCTTACAAATAGCTGTTCATAGAAGAACTAACTCATCTAGTGCACATGATGAAACATCAAGGTGGAACCAGAGCAAATCTTTGCAAAATTCCTCCAATTAAAAAAAATAAAAATGTCAAAAAGCAGGAAAAACAAACAACAGTGAAGAATCAACACAAGATAAAAATTTGCTAGTGAATACATAAAATTTATATTCAAATATATAATTTATTAAAAAAAAAAAAAAAAGACTTGGATAAAACAAGAACTTAGCCCTGGCCAGTTTGGCTCAGCGGTTCGAGTGTCAGCCCGTGGACCAGAGAGACCAGGTTCGGTTCCTGCTAAGGGCACGAGCCTCAGTTGTGGTTTATCCCTAGCCCAGTTGGGGTTGTGTGGGTGGCAACCAGTCAATGTGTGTGTCTCTCTTTCTTCCTCCCTCTCTCCCTCCTGCTCTGTTTGAAGAATGTCCTCAGGTGAGGATAAATATATATATTTATATATTTATATAAATATATAGTTATATATTTATATATATATATATAAATGGTGTGGCTCAGCAGTTGAGCATCTACCCACGCACCAAGAGGTCACCAATTCGATTCCCGGTCAGGGCACATGCCCAGGTTGTGGGCCAAATCCCTGGTGAGGGGCATGCAGGAGGTGGCCAATTGATGTTCTCTCTCATCAATGTTTCTATCTCTCTCCCCCTCTCCCTTCCTCTCTCTCTAAAATCAATAGAGAAAAAAAAATTTTAATTAAAAAAAAAAAGATGTTATTCAAGAAATAACAGCTTTCCAGAAATGAAGACTTTAATCTACAGATTGAAGGGGCACACAATGTATCAGATAATATATGGATGATCATTATCAAAGTATGTCCTAGTAAAACAACCTATCTTCTAAGAAATAATCTTTTGGTTTTCTCAGAAAAAAATAAAAGTCACATGTATTGGGTCAAAGAATAGATCAGACTGTTACAGACTTCTATAACCACAGTCAATGAGAGACAATATGTTTATAACTTCCCTAAGGAAATCTAATTGTCATGTAAAAATTTTGTAATAATAGCTAACACTTATTAGATCTTGTTCTAAGTGCTTTTCTGTGTTTATTTATTAATCCTCACATCAGTTCTATGAAGTACGTAATATCACTATTACTTTTTAAAGAAGAGGAGACCAAGATTTGAAAAAGTTAAGTCACACACACCTGGTCACACAGCCTAAGTGAATAAAACCAAGCAGCCTGGCTCCAGAGCCGTGCTCTTAACTATTGCACTATAATCTTCTGTCAGAGTGTTACTCAGAGTCGTCAGATAAACACTGAGAAGCTGTTACTAGAAGGAGGAGTAATACGTTTTGAGCAGGCAAACATGATAGATGTCCACCGTAATGTAAAAGTAATCTTTTTTTTTTTTTTTTGCCCTGGCCAGTTTGGCGCAGCGATTAGAGCATCAGGTCAAGGGCGGGCACCTGGGTTTCAGGTTTGATTTCCCCAGCCCTGGTCAGGGTCATTGCAGGAGGCAACCAATCAATGTATCTCTCTCACGTCTCTCTCTGTCTCTGTCTCTGTCTCTGTCTCTCTCTCTCTCTCTCTCCACCTCCCCCCTTCCATTCTAAAAATCAATGGAAAAATATCCTCTGGTGAGGATTAACAAATAATAATAATAATCTCTCTTTTTTTTTAGTTATTTATTTATTAAATTTATTTGAGTGACATTGATTAATAAGATCATGTAGGTTTCAAGTGTACATTTCTGTGATACATGATCTGTATTTGTATTGTGTGCCCCCCACCCAAAGTCAATAAAGAAAAAGAGGAGAACTGACGGTTTTTCTTTTTTTTTAATCCTCACCCGAGAACATTTTTGCACTTATCTTCAGACAGAGTAGGAAGGAGAGAGGGGGGAAGAGAGAGAGAAACATCGATGTAAGAGAGACACATCGAGTGGTTGCCACACGCACAACACCAACCAAGGCCAAGGACAAACTGCAACCGAGGTACGTGCCCTTAGTGGGACCCGAACCCAGGACTCTCTGGTCCACAGGCTGACGGACGCTCTAACCGCTGAGCCAAACCGGCCAGGGCAAGAACTGACAGTTTTTCAAAACCAAAACAGGGGAATCAAATGACCGCTAAATCCAAAAAATGTACCTTTATTTGGGGGGTGGGGGTTGTTGGGTATTT